GTGCGTGAAAAATTATATTTTATGTTATTATAATTATTGGAATGTTTGCAATATGTTTGTTTTCAATTATTTCATGACGGACTGTTACTTGACTAGGTGCTGCGAAAGGACTCTTAAATACATTGACCGTATCATTTATGTTCGAATCAGTATATATTGTCGGTCCGCTCAGTACGCGTCGACGCTCTGGGCACGATATGACAGCCGGAGTCACTCCGCAAATACAAGAAGAGGAAAGTCATAAATAATAAGACGGATATAGTTGTTGGTGGATTTTACTCACTTTATTGCACTCGCGAACTTGGCGATTTGACGCCTTTCGCTCTGAACCTTGGAGCTACCGCTTCAATTTACAATCTCGGATTGCTCTGATTTTTTCTCGCTCAGCGTGTCGCTCATCTCGTAGCCTACGTGAGCTCACTGAGTCACTGGTTTATTTCCGGCCGCAACCGAGGACCGGTTTCCACGCTCGAAACGCGTCATTGAAACGTAATCATTGGCTCGTTTTTGCAGACGATAAAATAGTTATGTTTTGAATTAAGGCAGACTCGCGCTCGATATGCTCACATATTTGATAAGGAATTCGGTGAAATCCGATCATGCGTTCCGCACCTACAGTAACGAGCTTCTAACAATTTACGATTATTCTTTTTATTAAATTAATATCCTAACAGCGAGTCACATAGAAGAAGATATTATTATATGGATGATGCATTTCTTTTATGGTTTTATATAAATCCGTATCGATTTTTTAACCGCATAATAGATATAACTTCCACTTGTAAATTCAAATAATAAAATTAATCCTTATTTTGTGATTAAAGCAAATATGACACATACATACAGAATGCTTCGTTAAGAATATATTTCATTAAAAGAAGCTCATTTTTTAAGATCGTGATTTTTTTATGTTATCCTGTTATCATATCATTATATGTTATGTTAATGCATGGTACATATCTAGACTGGGTGTATATAACATAGATATAATACAAGCAGTACAGTTGCTGCATAGTATAATATATTTAAGTCATGTTGTCATAATAACACACTGCATATTGATGATTATATATTAAAACATCACATACTTGTTGTATAAATGTATAATATGTAACACTTGTACATTTATTTTACATAACAGGGACCAATAGATATATAAGTAACTGCATAATATAAGTATTACGATATATCTGTTATAAAAAGGATTACTCCCAAGTTATATAGGCAGTAACAAATTATGTCGACTGGGAAGATATCACCCTGAGTAAGTATGTGTACTCAGCGCTCGCCTTCATTTACGTTGCATTCCATAGTTAAAAATCTTTCGAAGTATTTAATACGTAACAAAATATTTTTGATGGACATATAAAGCTAACATAGACGAATCGCTTTTTTTTTTTATTGCAACAGATTGACTTATCTATTTTGATTTCTTCCAAAATACAAGCAGTCCTGAAACATTAAAAGATATAAGTCAACATATCATATATTAAAACTTAAACTGTATTCATACTAATATTTATTAGAAATGTTTTTTCGCAATTTAACTTTAATTTCTTAATTAAAATCAGTCAAAATCATTAACTACGCTGATATTAATATTGGAAATAAAATATTCTTTTTTCGCAGCAATATTTCCTTTCTATCCTATTCTTTTTCGTATCTCTTTTCTTAAATAAGCAATTGTTTATAGTATTTTCACGATACTCACTATTAGAATAGTCGCTCCTAGCAGTACGGCTTTTATTTTCACGTCGAGATCGCGCGGAAAGTTAATGCCGAATTTATCCGTAAAGTTGAACATCTCTTCAGAAAAGCCTCTCCAATGCCTTCGAATCATACCGACGATGTGCTGCTCATCCACAGATTTGACCTGCGGATTTAATTATTAACGAACAATGCTAAAAATCCTTTTTACGGAACATATGCCAAGTTTGTAATATCATATTATTTATTATCATTTATTCTTAAGTTTTGTATTTTACTTTCAAAAATCTTCCAAAAACTCGAAATTAATTTTAAGAAAAATAATTTAAAAAATGTTAATATGATATGTAATAATAATGATGATGATGATAATTAAATATCATAAGTGGCATAAATTTTGTAAGATATGGAATGTTAAATTAGAATACCTCAAAAATTGAGTCACTACATAAAACAGCAGATGGTCCTTTTATCATTAATACGGGCTGGCCGAATGCATCGCGAATATAAAACTTTGCTCGCAGAAAACTCCACTCTTGAGTAACGCTACCCAATAGAGTACCTCCGAAATGCACTTCTAAAGCCTGCGAAAAAAAACTTGTGTCATCTGCTAATCAAATCTATGGTTATAATTAAACTTAAAAAATAAAATTTATCGATAATCTAAGATTTGTTCTCATATATATGTACGTAAAGATTTATTTCGCAGTCGTATTTAATATTGGAATTTTAATAAAATAAGTTACGAGACGAATTCGATTCCAATTATTTAGCAATTACATGTTTAATTTTTATTGCGTTCTATATCTTTTTAGACATACGCCATATAAGTAAACAAATAAATACATTATTTGTCGAAATACATGCTAAATAGGAAATCGACATTGTCATTTCTATTTAGAGTGTATTGATCGGATCTTTCAACGTTTATTTCAAAGTTTTGTCAAAAGGTAAACTTAACAGATGGCTTGCACATGTGAAGAAAGTTTGGTAGACACGATACAAGACAGCAGTCCTCATCTCGTTTTTAGGCTTGTTGTTATTTCCAATATCATTTTTCTTATTTTTTTGTAATTTAGTGTAAAATTGTAAATTAAAATAAATTTAAAAAAAGATTATCTATAAACTTTAAGTTTCATTGCTATATATTTAATAAAAAATTAATTATTATGAATAATAACTTAAGTCAAAAAAGAAGAATTTACTTTGAATTATTATTTTTAGAATTTTTCTTACTTCAGAATTTTAAATTTATTCAGAATTAAGTTTGCTGATAAATTTAAATATTAAATTGTAAATTAAACTTATCATTTTCATTTTTAACCTGAATTCTAAAGTTTACTAAATACATTATTAAATATTACAAGATTTTTAGACGTTAATTGTCATGAAAAATAGCAAACTTATTAATTTTTTTTCTATTTAAGAAAGAAATTTAAAATTCTCAAAGAATGCAACAAATAGAAAATATTTCTTTTTTAGTTTCTAAGATATTTCGTATACAGATAGTCCTAACAAATGCATTGAATAAACTCTAGTGATAAAACTACCGGCAATTGGCAGCATTTGGCGAAGGGTCGAACCATATGAAGAATCTCTTGTTGATTTCTGTCGTAAGCGCTGTATTCGTATAATGAATTATACTGTCCCAGGCAGAATCTCCAGCAGGTTCGCAATTCCTGCTCTATGTAAAACACCTGCTCGCCTCTGTTATCCGTAATAAGAAACTTGTCCCTCCTAGTCCATCCTAAAAAAAGATAACGTGTAGTGTTATCTCGCGCCAAGTACGCGCGGAGCGTACAATAGTGTTTTTAGTTAGTAACAGTAACGTAATATGTAATGTAATATAGTAAATAAATAAAAATAAGATTAGATATATAAAATTATATCGTATTCATTAAGTGATAAGAATAAAGTTATTAGGTATATATCTACCGCCCAATTATCAAATCGTAATTCAGTGGATATTTGTCATAATATAAAATAGAAAATACGATTGTGCATAATGAGATTATAATTTCATATTAATTATAATAATCTTGTAATTAATTATACGGTTACGTACAAAATTATGCGTTTATCATAATACAAATGATAAGACTGTTATACCGCGCGCAGTAAACGTAGCTTCGTTATTTACTCAGGCAGTAATCGTAAAATCACACTCGAGCTTCGCGGATCTGGAATTACATATATTCGCGCGCGGTCTCAAGAAGAGCGATGTTATACTTAGGGTAGACCGAGGCGAATCGGATCAATTTTACTTTCTGGGTAAAAAAGTAATCGAAAACACTTAATTTTATTATAGATTCTTAATCTTTATAACTTTAACTTGGATTTCATATAATAAAATAATACATAAACATGATATTTCTTATTGCACAACGAAAAAATGAGAAAAAGAGGATTATCCGATT